AAATAATTTTTTTTCTAAGGGTGGATTTTTTTGTAATCTGGGAATACCTGATCTTAAAGGCCAATCTGATGTTTTTTCTGACAAAAGATTTGTTATAACCTTGAATGGAAGAATGAGTTTCAGCAGTAAAAGTCAACTTTCTCTGTTCTTTAGTACCACAATTTTGATAGAGTTTCATCCATAACCAGCATTTTCTTAATAGCATTGGTTAGTAGCTGTTGTGTGTGTTTGTGTTGTGAGTATCTATGTGTGTGTATGATAAACTAATCTTTCTACTATTCTTCCAACATCAAGAAACCTAAGATGCATTGTAGAAAAAAATCATTAACATTACCTCTAGCTGCCAAATCCCTCTAAAAGTCATTCTTTCTATGGATTGATTAGTCTATTTAGCAGAAATAGTTCATTGACTCATGACAAGCTTCTTTTTTTTAATGAGTTATTAGTTTTGGATACACTTTGCTCTGTGCTGATTCATTTGATTGACCTTATTTCACTGTCCGATTGAATGATCCTTAAACATTTGATATCCCTGTACCAAAAGCCATTGCAATGTCTCTGATATTCATTACCAAGTACTCTTTAAGAACTGTGATTTGGGCATGTTTCCAAAATTCTTCAAAACCAGAACTAAAACACAACCAAAGAGAGAATGAACCATGTCTCTGTGTGTGATACAAATTCCAGCACTTAGTTGACAGTGAACTGACTAAAGGTAGGGGAGAAAATGACTTAATCTGATTTCACCTGGTCAAGTTTAGAGTTCAGGTTAATTTTGTGTTAGTAGAAGCATATATTCATTACTATTGTTGTCATGAAAGAAAATCGTATCATGATTATTACATGTACTATGTAATTTGTATACGAGACCATATATAGATTTAGATATAGATGTATATGTATATAATCCATAATACATGCACATTGTTTATATATCCACATATGTGCTAATATAAATATACATATGAATGTAACATACACATATATGTGCAAACGCGTGTCCTTTTCTGTGCATTATGAAGATGAACTTAAGCTCTTAAAGGTAGATATAGCAGAGCACAACCATTTCCATGTCTTAGGCTCTGAGTGCTAGACTGCATGAGCTACATATCTTCTAAATGTCAACCTCACTAAGATCAGAGTGGTTCATCACTAGCATGTCTGCAGCATTATGCATTTTTCAGCCAAAGTAGATCTTGAAGACCTACTAGGTCATAAAGAAGTTGCACCTTGTCTCAGTGGAGTGTCTACCTTGACAAAAACTAGAGATATGGAGAGATATAAAATTGACATCGGATCTCTGATTTGGTCAGTGTAGATTCTACTAAAACAAGTGTCAATTACTCTCTGAATTAGTAAAACATTCTCAAGAACTGATTCAGTTGGAAAAAATATGATATAATGTAATAAGAATAATAAACACTTAGAGACCACCTTAAGTTTAAGAAGTACCTTATATTATTATAAGTACTTTATCTCATTTGATCTTCAAAAGAATTATATGAATTAGGTGCTTGTATCACCCCACTATACAGATGAAGAAACTGAACCCAAGACTGATAATGTAATCTATCTAAGATCAAAAAGCTACTAAGTGACCATGCCTGAATTTGAACTTGGATCTTCCTGACTCTTAAGTCTAGAGTTCTATTCATTAAGTTAAGCTTCTTCCTCTGTATTGCATGTGTATGTGAGCATGTATAAGTGTGCACACACACACACACACACACACACACACACACACATACACACTACCATCACCACCACTATTTTTGTGTCCTCAGAACCCAGAACAGTTGCTACAACACAGTAGAATCTTGATAAATACTTGCTGATAGATTGATGTCTGTGTATAATTTATCTTCCAATACATAAATATACATGAGAGAGAGACTAGGATGATGCATAGAGTTCAAACCCGATAGTTAGAAATATAGTGTTTCAAGTTCTTTTTTTTTTTTTGTGAAACATACTAGCCTCATGTCCATGAACAATTCACATATATTCTCAATGCCCCAGGCAGCTGCCTAATCAATCAATCAACATTTATTTAAAACCTACTATATTTTAAATGCTGTGTTAGGTGCTGGGGTACAAAGACAAAAATTAAACTGTTCCTGTCTTAAAGAGCTTATATTCTACAGACAGAGATAACATGAACATATAATAATAATAGCTAACATCCATATAGTACCTCCTACATGAAATATAAGTACTTTACAAATGTTATCTTATTTTATCCATACAAATCCCCCTAGGAGGTAGGCGACACTATTTCCCCTATTTTATAGCAGAAGAAACTGAGGCAGACAGAGGTGAAGTGACTTGCCCAACGTTACAAAGCTAGTAAGTGTATGAAGCTGGATTTGTACTCAGGTTTTTCTACCTCCAGCCCCAGCATTCTATCCATCTATGTCAGAGTGGGAAACCTGTGGCCTCAAGGCCACATGTGGCCTTCTAGGTCCTCAAGTGCGGCCCTTTGACTGAATCCAAACTTCATAGAACAAATCCCCTTAATAAAAAGATTTGTTCTGTAAAACTTGGACTCAGTCAAAAGGCTACACCCAAGGACCTAGAAGGCCACATGTGGCCCTGAGACTGACTGCAGGTTCCCTACCCCTGAATTCTATGCCATCTAGCTACCTGTATAAACATAGGCAAAAACAAAACAAAACAAAAACAAAGCAGTTTGGGTAAGGCAGAGAGAAAGGTAATAAAAGTTAAGGGGATCAAGACATTTTTCATGTAAAATGTAACACTTGAGGTTACTTTTGAAGAAAACTAGGAACGCTAAAAGGTGGAGGTGAAGAGTGAGTGGAGCAAAAGTATGGGACAGAGTGAGTCCAAAAGCATTGAGATGGGAGAAGGAACACTGTGTGAGAGGCCTAATAAAATGGTTAGTTTATTTGGACCAAAGGGGAGCAATGGATAATAAGATTTCAGAAGATTTTTGGGGACAGATTTGTAAGTGGTATGGAATGGCAACATATAGAATACCTATATAACATATATGTGTATATATATAATGTATAAATATGTATATGTGTGTTTGTATATATGTATTATTACACACATCTATCTATCTGTCTATATATCAATCATAACACTTTTGGAGAGTGGTAGAGGGAGATATAATGGTGGGTGAGAGTCAAGAATGGCAATATGTAGAAGATGACACTTGAAGTTAGCTCACACTTAGAGAATATATGAAACCTGATTCTCAAAGAAGCTGGGTGATGAAGGGGCAGCCCTCTTACAATAGGCATGCACACTCTCTGTGGAATGTGATTCTAGATTGGTAAAGAGAATGCTACATGACCTTGAGTGAGAAATTATGTGAGGGACAGAGTTAATGAGAAAGTTTTGGAGAAAAGAGATACTCTTCAACTGCTTAGAGAAAGGACATGTGTGATTCCAGACTCTCTTCAGGAGGGAGGAGAAAAAAAAAAAAAGGTTAGAAGAGGCACGTGTTGAAGGGAAGTTGGTTATTCAATGTGTCTCTGATTTCTAGCTTGTTTATCTAGAGACTTCTCCAAGGATGAGATTAAATTCTCTCCCTTGGCTGATTTGAAATAACTCACTTCCTCTACTGTATTGATGAATACAGTTTTCACACCAGAAGTTCCTTCTTAATGAAATTACAAGCCTTGACCATAAAGAAATGCTCCAAATAAACTCACATTGAATTATAGAAATGAACATATATGTACTATGTTACTTAAAACCTTTATAAAGTATGTAGGTATTATTAGCCACATTTTATATTTGAGAAAACTGAGGATCCAAGAACTTAAGTGACTTTTTTGTTATTTAGTCATTTCAGTCATTTCTGAGTCTTTGTGATCCATTTTGGGGGTTTTCTTGGTAAAGATACTGGAGTGGTTTGCCATTTCCTTTTCCAGATCATTTGACAGATGAGGAAACTGAGGCAAAGATAATTAAGTAACTTGCCCAGGGTCAAACAGCTAGTAATTGTCTGAGTCCGGATTTGAACTCAGGAAAATTAGTCTTCCTGACTTTAGGTTTGGCACACTGTCCAATGTCCAAACCTAGCTGCCCATTAAGTGACTTACCCTTGGTTGGTTAGTGATAGAGCCAGGATTTGAACTCAAATCTGTTACCTTCAGATTTAGTACTGTTTTCATTGAACCAAATATCGTATGCATAAGTAAATACAAACAGTAATATTGTAGCTCTAAGCCATTCATATGGACTCTATATTAATTATGTCTTTCAGCATTATAAATGATATATTATAGGATAAGTGATTAATACCATGACCATACTAAATATGAATGATTGAGATCATTCTTTGATATCCCAAGAGGTACCTTCACCCCATCTTCCTGCAGCTCTTTCAAATGAAACAAGCACATTCAACCTGTTCCATTTTCAAGTATCTGTATCTACTCAAACAGCTCTCTTCACAGTGGTAATTCCTCTAATCCCTATAATTTATTCATCTCAGGATACACTCCAAAGCATTGTTTGAATTTGTTATCCACTGACTTTAAAAACAGTATTCATTATTAGGGGTGGGGGTTACGTTTCAGTACTTGGAGAGGCTTGCTGTAGTGATGTTTGTGCCTGGAAACAGCCCCATTCTTTGGCAAGGGAATGGGAGCCTGCTGAGCATAGCTCAGTAAGAGTGGCAAGGTTTCCAAATTTCAACTCCTTACCCTCCCAACACTCACACTGTATGGTCTTCTGCCATCCCCAAAGGAGCATGAGATTACATTGTTGTTGGGGGCTAACAACTACTCAAATTGGAAAAAACCTGTGATGAGCTGATTGTAATTTATGAGTTACAATTCTGATATTCCAAACCACAGCAGTTTCAAAATGTAGAAGGTTGAGATCTTTATTCTTAGCAGCTTTTCAATCCTGTCTTTTTTTGCTTTTAAATGATGGCAAGTCCTCTAGGTTTAGCACAATAATTTAGGGCATTTTTAGAGAATTAATATCATCTGAAAAGCTGATGTCACTTTTTTATATTACAGGTGATCCAAACAGTCAGCGCTATAGACAAAGATGAGCCCAAAACTGGACATTTTTTCCTATATAGCCTTCTTCCTGAAATGGCCAACAACCCAAATTTCACCATCAAAAAAAATGAAGGTAAATATATGGAAGCATTAGGAGATGGGGCCAGGACTCATGTTCTCTCCGTGCTGTTTTCTGCTGTGTTGTTCAGTTGCAACTTAATTCCCATTTTCCCCTCCCCGTGTGTAGTTAGAGCTGGGCTTATCAATGTAATGGCATGGTAATTACATCACTTTACCTTTTATAGTATCAGAAGAATAGATAAGAAAACGTCTAAAGTGAAAATTTAATTTCATCCCAGGGAAACCTTACCCATTTTACTTGAAGGGGTCTAAGGAAGTATCAAATCCCTCTGAAAATTCCAGGAATTTGGGGATATGGAGATATGCTTCTGTAGGAGGTTTTGGATTATGTCTTAGAGTTGTTCATTTCTAATTCAATGTTTATCAGACCTTCAGGGAAAGTCACTTTTAATTTTGCCTGGATTGTCTGTATACCTTTTAGATATTTATTTGATACCTGCACCCAACATGTCAATGGGTCAACAACTTCCTGAAAGACAGTATGTGTCTGTGGTTATTGTAGCTAATGCTACCAGGTCTTACTGTGGAATCTTAAGAGTCCTTGGTACTCAATTCAGTCTATTTCAATTTTTGTACCTAGTTTAGATGAAATATTTTACTTAGTGCTCATCTGTTATGTGTAAAGGTCAGAGAGTGTAAAGATTTAAAAAAAGAAATGACCAAAGCATCTGTATATTTTACTCTCCTAAGTCACTGTATATTGAATAAGGTTTTGAAAATATATTTATTTTGGTTTAGATTATACTTAGATCCATGATGTAACCTTTTGGAAATGATTAGTAAGATAAATGTGTGGTCTAAATCTATCTGTTCTTATTCATGTAGATGTTTCTTTAGTTCTTCCTCCACTAAAGTGTTTTAATATCTCAAAGCGGCATGGGGGTGACCTTGGGTTCTGGAAGGCTATGTCAGGGGAGAGGGTTAAACTTTTGGCTCAATGATAGACTGTCTGTTGTTTAAGTACCAGACTAGATATGTACACAGAGAGGCTGATCAGCAAAAAGTTAGCCACAAGGTAATGATAGATTGATTGTTTTGGCCACACAGACCAGTCACACAGACCAGTTTCTAAGGCCCTGAACTGTCTGTGATCTACATTAGTGGAGAAAGTATTCTTACTGATGATATTTTGATGCACTGAAATATTATTAATACAGATTTTTGAAAGGTCTGTATGAAATATATATTCAGCAAGCACAAAAATTACATAATAGGGACTAGTTTTGATTATTTTGTGTATCTGGTCCCATTTCAAAGAGGTAGCATCAATAAATATTCATTTATACCATAAATGAAAATTCCATGAATTTTACCAAATATGTCATGACTTTTCCTTCTAACATAATTGTATTTAGTTCTCTGAAGGTGCTTTCATTAATGTTGATGTATGCTAGCAAAAGAAAGAAGAGTATCATGTAAATAGTCATCTTTAGCTTATGCATTCGCCAGTATAGAAAATGAGAACAAGTCTTCCTTTATTTCTTTATCTGAAACAACAAATTGCAACAAATTGTATAAACACAATAAATTTAAGTCATCAAATTTTCTTCCACAGTAGTCAACAACAAAGACTTGAGGTAGTCAGATGAACAAGGTGTAAGACCCTTTGGACCACCCACATGGTCACTGCATGTTATCAATTTGAGGGTTCCATAGCTGTATCATTTATGTGGTGATTGTGCCATTCATCAGGCCTGTTCAATGATTTTTCTTAAAATCAATCTAATATAAATGGAATTTGCAGCCAAGTGTGAACACTTTGGTTCCATTCATTCTACCACGCTAAGTCCCAAAGACAGTATTGTTGGAAAGAAGGGAGGGAGGGAGGGAGAAAGGAAGGAAGAAAGAGAGGGAGGGATAAAGAGAGGAGAGAAGGCAGAAAGAAGGAAGGAAGAAAAGAAGGAAGGATGAAAGCAAGAAGCACAGAGGGAGGAAGGGAAGCTAGGGAAGCAGGGAAAGAAGGATGGAAGGCACATTTATTAAAGGCTTACTGTTGCACCAAGAACTGTATTAACTGCTGAGGATAAAACAAAAACAAAAACAAAGACTAAGAAATAAAAAAAAAATAAAATAAACAAAGACAGTCCCTGCCCTTAAGGAGATTACATGAATTCATATGTAGTGGAAACTTTAGGAAGTATGGATTTAAATTTCAGTTATTGCAATTTACTGATTTGCCTAATAGATTGGGTTTTGTCTCCTAATGAATTTATATTAACAGATGAAATTCACAAGTTCTTGTTACATGTTAGTATACCATAAATCATCTTCAACCAGTAGAGAGCTGGACAGAAAAGAAAATATTTTTAGTCCTGGATCTCCCAGTGATTTCCAAGATACTTATAATCTCTGTACTTTATTATTTTTCTTTTCACTGAAAATTTATGTTTCTTTATTTTCTTTCCTTGGCAGCAATAATTTTGACCTAATCCCACAGGTTGTTGTGAGCAATAACTTAAAAAAAAAAAGTTGTCCAGCATTATGAAGCTGTAAGTGTGTTAAACAGAAGTCAGATCTTTATTTCAAACTATTTTGATTAAATATGAGTTCATCTTATAAAGAAAAAGAATAACTCAATTTTCAGAATAAATCAGGATGTTAATCATATACTATCATGATCTTGGCAGAATTCTCTAGATACTGTATGTTCCATCACTCATATTTGGCATTACCATTATCTAAAAGAAAATAAAATTTAAAAAAATCACAGATTGGTGGGTCCACATTTAAAAGGATTGCCAAAGAAGAATTCAGTTCAACAAGTCTTTGTTAGCCACTGACTACATGTCAGTCATTGTACGAGGTATTTGGTATACAAAGACAAAAATGTAATGATCTCGAACTCAGAGAGCTTATATCTACTGGGAACCTGAAGAATCAATTTTCGTAGCATGAAACACTATCTCACAAGAATTAGTCATTGTGACAAAGAAACTGGAATTGGGAATTGAAGATCTAGATTTAAAGCCTGGCTCTGCCACTAATTGTCACTTAATACCTCAAAGAGGTTCAGCCTCATCTTGAAAATGAGAGGATTGGAAATGATGATTCCTAAAATCGTTTCCAGTTCCATTGTGCTGTAATTCCTACTTTTGTTTCGTATAGAGATTTCCATTGCACTTTAAAGGTAACTGATGATACCTGATTAACCTGATTGTTCAGTTGTTGGTCGTCTCCAACTCTTTGTCACTTTGTTTGGGGTTTTCTAGGCAGAGATATTGCTGTGGTTTGCCATTTCCTTCTCCTGCTTATTTTATAGATGAAGAACTGAGGCAAACTGTGTTAAGTGACTTGCCCAGGGTCACACAGCTAAGTGTCTGAGGCCAGATTTGAACTCAGGAAGATGCGTCTTACTGGCGCCAGGCCCAGTGCTCTATCTACTGTGCCACCTAGGTGCCCTAAGAACGAATACCTAATAAAAGAAAAATGCCAGAGAAATAGGTTGCATATTATCCTTTTATACACAGTTTTGTGATACCACAATTAGCATTACTTTTTTTTTAATAGGTAAGAGATAATCTGTCTTCTAAAAACAGCAGTACAACCTATCCCTTGCCATCCAAATACAGTTGGAAGTACAGATCAAAATTTCAGTGAGTCATTAAAAAATTCCGTTAATAGCAAACAATCTAAGCATTTTGAGTTTTCACAGTTTGTCTGGGAACTTAGCCAGAAACGTTGGTCTCTCCTTCCAGTTGGGTGAACCTTAAAAAAACAGAGTTTTGCTCACCACATCTTGGCATTTAGGCATCCAGTGCAACCGTGAAAATGGAAGACACCCAACAATTAAATATAACGAGACAGGGAAGATAAATGAACGTTTTACAGATGCTGAAAGGGTTCACTTGCAGAAAGTCTGAGTTGTATTGCTTCTTGGAAAGTTGCTCCACTCTAACTTGTGTTCTGGAGGTAATAGATTTAATTAGAATTGCCAGGGAGCAGTGGACTGTAATAGGAGTTTTCATGTTTTCTACTAAGATATTTGAACCATGTGGGTAAGAAATTGAAAAAAAATGCAACTTCCTGACACATGAGGACAGCTTGTGAGAGTGAGAGGGATGGACTAAGCTTTTGGCTCTAGGAGATGAGGAACAACAAAGTGATGCAAAATACTTGCTCATGTTCACAAAGACTGAATCGAAACCTGAGCATCAGATGATGCTGACTTTCTTTCTTTCTTTTCTCCCCCTTTTAATGTTGATATCCTCTCTTTGACTCAACAGACCAGCTACTAGGGCATTACTATAATGATCAATTTGCACAAGGTAGGTTCCAGCTGGAACTTCATATTCACTTTCTCTTCCATTTTCTTCATGTCTATAGTGCTTTGCCCATTTTTAGAATGCAGTTCATTTCCTCCAATCCAGTCCTCCTACAGTGTCTCGTTAGGGCATGGAAGTGACCCTGACTTTTTGAAAGCTATGACAGTAGAGTGTCAGCTCCTTCAAATCTTACCTAACTGGGAAGAATATGAATACAGACTGTGTGTCACTCAAGGATAGACTAGCTAAGTGCAGAGAGGCTTCATACTAGGCAGTTGTATATTATGTGATTTCAATTATTATCATTTTTGTGGTGTCAGAAACTCAGTAAGACAGTTTATTAAAGCATAGAAATGGCACCATTTGCATACCTGGAGGTAGTGACCTCACTAACAAAAGCATGGATCCTTGGAGTGTTAAAAGAATTCATTCCAAAACCAATAATTTGCATTTTGACTCATTACTCAACTTTTGAAGTTTGATACTCTATCTCCTTCCTGATGTAAAAATCATCTAAGTAAAGCCCTTTGAGGAAATGAACCATCAGGTGTTACATCTGTCTCCTATCATGAACCATTCATTCACTGCCTTCTCATCCTCCATAGTATCTCCTCACTGCTTTCATTCTATCCATGTTTCTTTCTCACTTGGACCTTGCTAATTCCATAATGTTCTTTATGAACTTTAAAAGTGACCCCATTGTTTTAGTGGATACATATTGCCCTTAACA